TAAAGTGAGAAGCCAGAAGGAGAAGATATTGGCAACTAAGTGCGGATTTCATTTTAAAAACACTTTACATTATAAAGAGAAGGTTTCATATTGTAAATATCACATATCATGCTAGTGTTGTTAAAGGAGACTTAGTAATTTTTAAAAATTCATCAAACTGTCTTTGTCTATGATGATATCTGGCACATTTTATATTTCTGCAGTGAAGTCTTAAATTTATCCCAAGATGTTTTTAGTTATAATCAGCAGATGTGGTTTATAAAAGTTTTCCTAAGATAGTAGAAAAGTATAATTGAACAGAGTCCTCCTTGGCAGTGTAGCTTGTAGGAACCGCTTACTTTGGTAACCAGCTGATTGTTTTTCTTGTGCATTGGAAGCTGTTGCTAAAGCAGCACAGTTTAGGTGGGTGGCTACGGAAATAACCCGTCTTACTCTCTGGTGGGATGTTAGTTTGGATGGGCAGTGTGGGTGTGTATTCCCTGGAGTACTTTCTGCAGGGAGGACGCACTTTTCCTCTCCGGTTCCACGGCCCCCGCGTCTTTACCTGGATGGAGTAGCATTGCCTGGGATGGCAGCAGGCAAGGATCTAAGGGGCAATGAATGTGAACAGAGTCTGCCTCACCTCCCCATCGCAGCATCTGGAGTCTTCGTGGGAAGTGAGAAGTGTTCAAGTTGCAGCTGCAGCCCCTTTCATAACAAGTTCGGTAAATGTTACACATGGTTGCTTGCTTAGAAAGTATTTTCCAGATTGAACATGCTTATGGCATTGGCATTTGACGCTGAAGTCCTTCCCTTCCTGATTCCAGCAGAGAATACTTCCAGGCTGCGTCCTGACTTTATGGGGGTGGGAAACTGGCAATGGGTCATTTACAGTTTTCAAACAAATCACAATGCACTTTGATCATTAGTCCAAGTTTCTTTAAATGCAATGAATAATAATAATAATAAATCAGCAAAGCGTAGCTGTTTCCCCCTAAAATATGGTTACCTTTAATGTAATCTTTTTTTATTGTGTTCTAGATTCAAACTAACATATTTAATCCATCTTAATCACAGCATATATTTTCTGAGAAGAGAGCTTAACTCAACAAATTAGGTAGAGGGGATGTCTGCATGGGTTTATTTTCACAATTTAAGTCACAACACATTATCTGAGAATTGTATTTATATAATAAAGGCAGCATATATTATTGCATAGACTTTCTGTGTGAACTATCACATTTTATTTATAAATCCTTCGGTGCACTGGATGTTGTCAAACCAACTAGAGAATATCTCAGCCAAGAGATACATTCAAAACAAAGAGACTGAGTCCCAAATCTTCCAGTGTTTAAAAATCACAAGCTGGAAATTGAATGGATAAAATTTATAATATAGTGCCAGTTGTTTAGCATTAATTTTGATCACAACTTTGAAATAATTACTTTTCATTGATTTGGGTTTTCCTTTCTGTTTATACATAAATGCTCCGTTGACTGTCAAAATGCCCTCAGGTTGCTAACAGGCATTCATATAACATTGTACACTAAACCAGCTGCTTTTCTACAATGTAAGTTTTTCTGCTTTTAACTGTATCTACTGGCATCTAGATGCACAATCTTGAGAGTTTTCGTGAATATTAATTACAATCTAGAGTGTAATGTCCTTTGTCTGTGCTTTAAAGCAAATATGCCTTGTATGCCACGGAAAAGACTTTTATACAATAGTTCTATGCAATAGGTTATGACATTGTAAATACCGAACAACAGTTACCTTTGCCCAAATAAAACGCCTTGCTGTTGTAAGTGAAATGCACTTGGCAGATATCTGTATTGTACCCAGAATTTGGAAAGGACAACAAGGTTAATTCTTCTGTAAGCCAAGTTGCTTCACTGGCCTTCCATCCCAATAAATAAATAACAGATGTATGCTCTGAACACCTTCAACAAGGCTTAGACATTGAATCTGATCTTTAGATACTGTAGAATAATATTTTAGTGAGTTTGTAAAAGAATAAAGAACTTCAAAAAACCAAATGTACGTGTGATTAATTGCAGAGCCAAGCATTTTAATTTCAACCCAGGGGAAAGGCAACAGCAAATAAAAGAATACAAAGACCCATAACGAAGGGCAGTAAAATAATCTAAGTGAATCATTTTATTAAAATGGTTGTTTCACTATAAATAAAGAACCATAAAAAGAGCAATTTGTATATTCTCTTACAAAAACCCTCACCCTAGGCAGCCAGCCACTAAAATTTTATAGGGAAGCACACCAATGTGCCCCCTAAGGAACACAGAGATATCTGCTGTTCTTTTTTAACAAAGATTGAGATGCTTGTAAAACTCTTAGCAAAGACTTCTAAAAATAAACCCCTTCCTGTAGTCCCTTGCCCCCTACACTGCACACAGTGTAGGTGAAAGCACTCCCCCCCCCACCCCTGGCCCCCAAGCCCAGTGCCAGCCACATTGTTTGACTCCAATCGAAATAGCTTGTCAGTGTTGCCAGGCTTGCATGGCGGTCTCTAACCCTTTCCCTTGTGGGCATCTCTCTTTGAAACGACAGCGATGCTGCGCCATCTCTCATACGTGGGGAACAAGCAAGTATCCCGATTTGATGGTTTAATTGTAACTGGTCACACTAAAGATAAAATGAGGCGCGAGGTCAGGGAAAACGTACAGGGTACAACCCCGAGGAGGAACCCAGAAATGCGAGAGATGTTTTATTATGTGTAGCAGCTGCCTTGCGGCTTTAGACATGGTTTTTTCCCCCCTCTACAGACTGTTCCTGAACAAGGTCCCACCAGAGTGATGTATCCTTTCATGGTATCCCTAAACAAAGCTCTCTTGGCCATTTACCTTGCTCTAGGTAACTTGGGGAAATCACAGCAGACCTGTATCATTCCAGGGCTCTGCTGAGTTATTTGGCTGCTAATTGATTCTCAAAGGATGCTGAGTGAGTGCTGCTCTCACCACAATGCTGGGTTAAGGATTCCTCTCCACTTAGGCGTGCTTGCTTTCAATGAAATTGAAACTGCTAGCAGACTGGGTATTGGACTGGGAAAGGAGTTGTTTTTGTTTTTTGTTTTTGTTTTTTTTTTTAAAGGAAAAAGGTCTAACAGGCACTAGCTTCATGAGTCAGAAAGAGAAATCTGACAGTTTTCAAGCTGCAGGAGCCCATGCATAGTTTAACGTTTCACCATGCTCTTAACTGTTGTTGCGATTGACGTATATATATCATGACGGAAAATGAAAGCCCAAGGTTTTAAACCTGTGATTTAAGGGGACTCGTGGCCTGGATTAGAATCTTAGAGAGCAATGTAATAACTAACTTGTTTGAACGTGGTTCTACCTCTCCTCAGACTTTTCCCGGTAGCTTTGTTTGCAGCCAGTTTACAGTAAAATGTGCCTTACAGAATAGCATCCTCGCACCACAGGGAAGAGCCCTTCCTTTAAAAACAGGGCATGGCGGCGACTTGCTAAAGGTGTGTTAGTCCTGTGAATGGGTTAATCAGCAGTACAACATTACAGGGCAAGCTGGACCATCAAAAGGTTTAAGTGGCACTGTGTAATACTGACTAAGTAACAGAGCAATACAAGCGAGTTGGGAGAATAACTAGGGCTGGCAAGTCTTGGGAAACAACACAGTCATAAAAGTCTGCTTTCCTTGCAGACCCAAGGTTTCCCTCTGGGATCTTCTGGAACCATATTCAAACGTCAGCTCTTCTGCAGTCACTAAACCCTGCCTGCATTAAAACGGCCATCAAGAACCCAAACCGGGTTTCCATCCTCCTATTTCCATAGGCGTTTGTGATATACAGGTTTGACCCACGTTAAATTCTGCCTCTGCCTCTTGGTGGCTGGCTGACCTTGAGTGCACGCTGAACAGCTGCAGACTCCTTACCCGCAAAATGTGGGGGAGACTTACACGATTATTGTAAGAGGGTCAAAAGAGAAATTACATTTAAAAAGCCAACTATATATCCTTGCTCATCTTAAGCACTGAAAGTACTGGCTGCTATTAAAAGGAATGATTGTAAATCTTTTCTATTCAATGTTTGAGAGATTAAAAACCTCTTTGTTTTGAATGCACAGAGAGAGCCCGGTTTTACTTTTTTTTTTTAACAATTATTTGTTTTTTATATTCTAAATGGTGGAAGATCCTCCAACATTTTATGGTGTTATTGCTTAGTAAGGAACACCACAGTGTCACTGATTCAGACAGCATGAAAACAGTACAAAGGAGATTATGAAATGTACATATAAATTTTATTTATGTATTATAGATATAATTTTATTATAATTGTAACTTCTTTTTACAAATTATTTGCGTTATTTTACAAAATACAAAAATATTCCCCAAAAGATGTTTTCTTGCCCGCTTGCTGCTTATGGAAGGGCCCATTCACCCTGTTCAAGTTTTCTGTGAGAAATTAGTTTCAGGAGATAAGTTCATCCATATCACTTGAAATTCTTTTCATATGGGCTATGGAGTGTTATAAATTCTGACTTAATATAAGGCAAAGAGAGGGGGGAAAGACTGTAGATTTCACACATGGAATCCATTCCACGTTGTTTTTGCTAGACTTTCTGAGACCACAGGGGATCTGATAACAATAGGTTATGAGGGGGTACAATTAGAACAATGACACAGAAGGAGGAAAATGAGGGTGAAAGTTGGTGTTTCCAGGCTGAGCAGTTTACCTTATACTTGCAGACCATGCCTGAGATGCATTTGGAAGACCTTGGTGTACTGATCTTTTGTTGCCTTCAATGCCCCAGGAGTGATTTCAGGAAGTAGAAAAAAAATCCTTTAGTAAAACTTTAAAATCTCACCTCAAACTGTGTAATTCTGCAATGCAGGAGGAGGTCAGTTACACAGTTGTACCCAGTTAGAACCCTTGATTTCAAACATTGATGTTCAATTGCATCAGCCACCTTTCTATGAGCCGGAATGGGGTGTGGCAGGGAGTGTTTGGTGGGCGGGGACCAGCCAGGGGAGTAGGAAGAGGAACACTCAAGGATGCTGGGCTATTGTGTGACCAGGCTGCGGATGGTGTAGCAATGCTGTGTTGATTAGGGAAGGACTTCTGTGCCTCTACTAGAAATAAGCAAAGGAAGCAAGGGGTCTGGTGAGAGAGAAAGCAGACGGGGTGAAGAGGGGATGAGCTGTCAGTGATGGCTGACGAGGGATCCTTACAGTTGGGAGTCTGCAGATGTATCTGGGAAGGGAGCTGGGCACGAGAGAGGCACCATCTTGTAACAGGTTTGTGGAAACCCCTCTCCAGCTTTTGTGAAAACAGCAGCCGAGGGAGCTAAGCCCAGAGGACATCTTCAGCCAGAGACTCCAGGTTGGGGAGGTACATTTTATATTTATTTATTATCGCAACACACACTATAAATTTTTAAACCTATTTGAGTAATTTCCCCTGAGGAGGAAATCTGACCCCATTCCCACAGTTATCCCGCCCTCAACGTGCTAAGAGGGCCACAAAGCATTTGGAAGGCTTCCTTTAAAGTTCTGGATCATTCCTCCATTCTCAGGGCTGCCAGTCCCGCTCCATGGGTCCTGCTAATATTGGAGCATATTTATTTATCAGTATTAGGGATGGGGGGTGGATAGGGCAACAGCTGAAGGTCTGTCCTGTACCCCTGGAGATTTGTGGCCTTTGGTGTTGAGGGGGGAGATAGTGACCACTCAGAGATAACCGTTTGTTATGCAATAAAAATGACTCAGTGGCTCTGAGCATGAACTCTCCCAGGGAGGGTGCTGATAGGGGCAGCTGGAGACTTTTTTTCTAACCAAATGAGCAAGCAGGAGCTCAGAGATTTGTTGTGAAAAGGGGTGGCTTTGCTGCCTTCCTTCCTCATGGCTTCATTTGCTTGTCAGGCTCCCCCAGAGGGACTCCTGCTCCTGAGGCCACCATTGCCACTGAGTAAGCAGGCTCCAGGGCTGGGAAGGGGCAGACAAACTCAAAAGCACCAGGGAGAGGATAAACAGGGCACAGATTTGTGACGTGCATTAAAATGCACGGATCTGCCACACTTTTCTACATCATATGTATTTTCAATAAAACAGGAGTAAATATTCATAGTGAACTGTGTCAAATGACAAGGGAGATTTTCAGAGTGTGGGACCCTTGGGAGCAGCATCTCAGGGGCTTCACTAGGGATGCCCCATCTGGACCGTGCAGCAGCAGACAATAGCAGTGGGAACTCATCTCCGGGAAGACACCAGAATCTGGATGTGTCTGTATACTGCTGGAAATTTTGAGGTCACAAACCTTGAACACTGTCACTGATTCCTCCTCTTTGCTTATAACCTAGGATGCTCTCTCTCTCTCTCTCTCTCCCTCTCTCTATCTTTCTCTCTCTCTCGTGTGTGTGTGTTTATATGTGTATGTGTGTGAGTATATTCCTCAGGAGCGGTCCAACTTGGGTTTTGATGCAGCAGGATCTCTCACTGTCCAGGAACTGGCAGACTGAGAAAAACTGACTAACCAGAAGTCCTGGAATCCTCCTGTCTCTGCCTCCAAGGTACTGATATTAAAAGCACTTCACGGTGGACTTTTTAGATGGGTTCTGGAGAATGACACTCAGGTCCTCACGCTTGTTTGGCAAACATTTTGCTGGCTAAGGTCACTCCCCAGTCCCTGGAAGGATGTTTAATGAATGTTGTTTGCTTCTTTTTGGGAAGAGGATCAACCAGGCAGCAAGGGGTGTCAAAGAGAGCCAGCGACATCCTGACTCCCTGACTCTAAGACGTGAGATCAGTCGATTATCCTAGCTTTGCAAAGCTTCCACACAGCCAGAGTTTCTTCATGCGTGTTTATACCAGACAAAAGGCAATGTGGTCCTGAGGATTGCAGGAGTCCTATTCTAGCTGCTGAGATGGGTTGTGAAGGGGTGGTGCTCTCCACAGTGCCTGGAGCTGCCATGTGGACCTGCCCTCTGGCTCATCCATCTCAGTGCAGGGGAAGCTCATAATTAGAGGACTTAGCTTCTGTGACTCATCTCTTTAGAAGCCCATTTCTGGCTCTGAGACGCTCCCTGCTGTAGAGAGAATGGGAGGCGCCTTCAGTTCCTCCTGACAGCTGTTTACCCTGCTTTGTATTATCTCCCTGGCGTTTGAATGTGCCTAGGCTGCAGCTAATATATGTTTATTCTCAAGGAGCAGGAGCCTCAGCAAGCCGCTGAAGTTTAGGGAGGGGAACCACACAGTGGCAATGGGGAAGGATCATTGTCTGCACATTGCTAGAGCTTATTTGGTGTGAGGGATTTTAGGCAGTCTACGTGGTAAGGAGAAGGCAAAGTGACAGTGTGGAATCTCTTAAGAAATGCAAAACTGTGCAGTAAACAGGATTGCCATTTATCAGAAAGTAAGTATAATGCAGGGGAAATTCCTCCACCCTTGGGTGCAGTCCATGACCTTGGGTGCTGGCTATGGCTACAGCTAACTCCTAGGGACTCTGTTCCTGGACGTGGGATTAAGTGTTCTTAGCGGCATTATTAGGAAAGCTAACTAGTATGACTCCTTTGCATATGAAAAGCATAGAGAACTTCCTTTTTAATCTTTGTTTTTATGGCTGCAAGCATGATTACATAGAGGCAAATCAATCCCAACGGAACACAATGGATAATACAATGTAATTGATTGGTCTTTATCATTTTCCGTTACGATATTAAAATATCAGTGTAATATCAAGTAGGAGCCACTGATACATAAAGGGAAACAGGAGTGATGATGTCTAAGGGTAATCAGGTCAGGGAAGTGTGAAGGTAAGATAAATGAGGTAAATGCAAAAGAAATAGGAAAAGGCTTTACAGGAGCAGAAAGGGAGTCGGCAGCAAGGAGGCTGTGTAATAGAAAGAGTAGAGCTTTGGAATGTCATTAAGCAGGAAGCCACGAGAGACAGTCCATTGCAGCTACGTGATGGCAGTATGTCTCGGTTGGTGTCCCAAGCCGTGGGGGCAGAAGCTGAGTGGCTTTAACATCTCAGGATGTGCAATAATCCTTTCAAAACACAATGCCTGCAGCCTGACTGCTCTCCAACTATGAAGCTTGGAAAATGAAATAGAGGAGGCATTTCAGTACTGGTATTCCCCAGGCTTGAGAGCCACCAACATGGCTTTGCAGACATTCCTAGCTATCAGAGACCATTGTGGCTTTGTTAGACCCTAGAAAGCTGTGGTCTGTGTCCCCGCGCAAGCCACTGAGCTAGAGTCATTGAGAAAAAAAATGCATGAATAGAGTACTAAGATACTTTATTGTGTGGGCTTACTTAACCTTTACAAATACACTTATTCTCTTTTAACAAATATTTATGAATACTAATCAACACACACGTGTCACTTTCATGTGACTTTATGTGAAGTATGACAAAATTTTTTATTCTTACCAGTCTTCTTTGGTAATGTTTTATTGCGAAAATACACGTGCATTATTTGTGTATGATCAATAAGTGAACTATATATAACAATTCAGTAAAAAAAACCATGATATTTATCTTAGTCTCTACATCACTGCATGCTTCTAATTTAGATTTCTCTCACAGTGTCATACATGTGTTAAATAGCCGTCACAAACAACCCTGTTGTGGCTAGAAGTCAGCTTTTCATCATCCAAACATCGTAGCACAATGTCATGTCTACCAGAGTGATACAGCCCTTTGGATAAGAGCTAATCAGGAAAATGGCTCGAGGACATGAAGGCTGGAACATCAGCAGGCTGGTAAGCTGAGACAGCCTGGAGAGGCATGGGAAGCAACTGTTACCAAGCGGAAGGACTCTAGAAATTATAGGATTCATTTCTAACTTTTCAAATACCAGTGGATTTGACTAATTTGTCCATTTTTCTGGTATTCCATGAAAGTCAATACATATCTATCATGGTACTGAAGTTACAGAAACGGTTTTCAGGAGCACCTTATCACTCAGTCCCCCCACTACCCGCCAAGAAACAACATCCAGGAGCCAGATTCACATGTCTGAGGGAAGGAGAAGAAGGAGGTCTCTGTTCAACCTGGGTTCCCAATAGACTGGATGAAGCCCATTCACATTGATGAGGGCTAATGCTACTTAGTCTAGGGACCCTAAAGCTAACCTCTTTAGAAAACAACTTCACAAAATAATCAGGAATAAAACTACTTTATCATTCCTTGGTTGCTTTGATGCACAGTATTAACAATCGCAGGTACAACAGCTAATGAGAAAGAGCAAGGTGTATATTGAAATACATAATAATGATCCCCTAGATATAAAACAGATGGAAGGGAACTCTGAGGGAAGGAAAAACAGAGGTAAAGATGGGTAGGAAAGCAGACTCTCCCAATAAAACAGAAGGGGAAGGACAAACCACTGAACAAGTCTGTAAGGAAACTTCTGCCTTGGGTTAAATAATATGGGAAGATCCACTCTAAAAGCGGGCAGCACCACTGAATAGACCGTGGCCCTGGACTGAACACAATGCAGAAACCAAGGACAACATTAGCATTTACTTCTCTGCTTCCCGACTGAAGACACAATGTGACCAGATGCCTCTTGCTCCTTGTGCTGTACCTTCTCGGCCAAGACGGACTCTCCCATCAAAGTAGGAGTCCAAAGAGACCTTCCTTCTCTCTGCTATTTTTATCAGGCACAGCAACTAACATAAGAATTACAGGCAATGCAATCTTCATGTCTGTAGTTCTAAGGAATACAAAGAATGTCATTGTCATCGATGTACTGTGACACTAAAGGAGACAATGTGATGCAGGATAGAGAGGCGGGAGGCTGATGGGATTGCAGGTTAGATAATAGTTTTATAAGGATCTCCCCTGCCATAGAAGAGGGTTTTACCTACAACTCCCCACAAGCCTAAGAAAGCAAATAGCAGAAAACTGGCATGAGCAATATTGTGTAAGAAGCATTAGCCCTCATCAATGTGAGCGGGCTTCATCCAGTCTATTGAGAACCCAGGTTGAACAGAGACCTCCTTCTCCTCCTTCCCTCAGACATGTGAATCTGGCTCCTGGATGTTGTTTCTCGGTGGGTATGGGAGGGGGACTGACTGATAAGGTGCTCCTGAAAACCGTTTCTGTAACTTCAGTGCCATGATAGATATGAATTGACTTCCTGAAGTGACGCCGATGGGTTCATTCATTGAGGGGTCACTCTCAAGCCAATGGGCTTTAGGATTTGCTCTGATCCAATCAATGGTATAATCCTTTGGTGAATTCATTGCACGATGGACATTATTGGGAGGCAGAGCCTAGGCAGATCAAGCAGGTCATTGAGAGAGTGTCCTGAGAGATGTAATTTTTTCTGCTTCTTCTCTGCAATGAGGTGAAGCTGCTTTGCTCAACCACCTGATCCCCTCCATGATGTTTGACCTTGAATCAGTCCCACAGCAGTACAACCAGTTGACGATGTACCAAATGCTATGAAATCCTTCTTCTGCTCAAGTTGTTCTTTCAGACATTCGTTACAGAGGTCATCGGATCTATCAGGAAACCAACTCCGTGCCTCAGTCAATATCCCAGCTGTCTCTCCTCTGTGTGTTAAATTCATGTGTGCTAGCACCAATATTTTTGACCTATGGCAGTTCTAAAAATTCCATCCAGATATTCAAGACCCAGAGGAAGAGGGGTTATCTCTTTTCTTTTTTATGTCTCTTTCTTTGGAATGAAAAGTACTTTCTCACTAAGCTCTGGCACACTCCTCTTCTTGTTTCTTTGGCCACATGCTCTGATTGCATGCTTGTATAACCCATCAGATGTCACAGTGAACTTTAGAGAATAACTACCAGGTCAGCCTTGCCTCCTTCAGACATCTTCACTTTTGACCTTGCATCTCTGTTTATGGCAATTATAATTTGATGGCAATTCTTCAGAAGAATCTGGATTATTTAATGCCGTTATGTATGCAAACAATGTTTCATTTCTCTATCAAGAGCAAGCATGGCATATACTCATCCACAAAGAGTGGTGGGATGTTTGTACACTGTGTGAAGATGTATTGCTGTAATTGGTGTAGTAAAAATCTGAACAGCTGGTAGCTAGGCAGGACTTCCAGGCGGGGAGAGGGAAACTGGGAGGAGGGATCTAGGTGCACGATTTTGCCAGCAGACTTGGAGCAAGTTGGATGTGTCATGCTAAGAGGAGGTCACCGAGGCACGTGATAGAAGTGGTTAAGTTGTGAGAGCTAGTTATTAAAAGCCTAAGCCAAGGACAAGCTTTTAATTAATAACAGTCTCTGTCATTATTGTGGGCTGGAGGTCCAAAAATAGTCCTTCAAGAAGGCTTGTTGCAGTGCCTTCCATTAGTTGAGTTCATGGTCCTTGATAGTTCTTTATGCTGATGTTTACAAAGACTCACAGGATGTGATGAGACCTGCTCTGCTGTTGTATCCCCCACCTAGACATGTGAAGTCTTCTCAGTGGGCTGAGACATCACAATGCTCTCAGAATCCTTATATATAATCCTATGCTCAGTTTCTAGGAATCAAAGCCTACCTTGGTAATTTGTCATTCTATTCAAGCTTGACAAACTCTGCTTAGGCATCCCAGTGGGTACTTCAAGTTGAATGTTACATGTCCCCCAGATGTCCATGTTTTTAAAGTCTGGGTCTTTGGGGGTGGTACTATAAGAAAGTAGATGAGTCATTTGTATATAGAATCTTATGGGAGATCCTTGAGTTATTCAAAGCATAGCCTCACTTGGGATTGTGGGACCCTGGCTGAAGCTCTTTGTTTTTAGAATGATGAAGTTCCCTGCCTGTCTTACCATACATTCCTGCCATGGCTACCCTACATCAGGAGCCAAAGCTATCAAATCTCTGAGTTCAAACAAGCCTTTGCTCCTTCAGGTTAGTTATCTTAATGTGTCATTACAGCAATGGAAAGGTAAACAATGCAATAACTGTGTGTCGTCTTATTTGACGATGGTCTTTCTGGGTTCTCTAAGACTCACACTAACCCCAGATCTTAAGAATCCATGTATCTGGCCATAGCATCTAGGGAGGCAGAAAATACATGGTGTAAATTTCATTCAGTTCTTCCTGGTGATGCCTGATCCAGCCACACTGAATAAATTGTCCAATTGTCCAATTGTCCAATTGTGCACCCATACAGCACAAGTGTCCTTCAATGTACTGATAGAACACATCTTGGAATTCTTGAGGAAGCATACATCTTGGAATTCTTGAGGAAGCATGACTGTCTGAAGCTCAGCTAAGACTCATTATGTCTCTAGGTGTCCTAGAGAAAGTTAGACTTCATTTCTAAATTCTTAAAGATTTGATATTCTCTTTTCCCTTTATCCTCGCTCTTCAAGCTCTGAGACAACTCTGTTTTCTCACATGCTTCTTCTTGGGATGACTATCAGGTTGGTTAGTTAACAGCATCTAGGAACAACTGTCAATCCTGATTAAAAATTTACCAGGGTTATCTAAAACGTAGTGGAAGATACTGTCCATCCCAGATGAATCATTCTGCAATGGCATAATTTTGGGTGATAGCGACCTATACATTTGTCCAGATGTCATTTGACCCTTTATATTTGCATCACATGTTCTAACCATACTTTCTGCAGACTTTAGGGCAGCATGTACTATTGTTTGTGGAAGGGGCTGTCTTCCCTTCAGAGCATTGTTCTTTGATAAGATCTTTTCTTATTTATTACTTAGTTCTCAGATCCTAGCAAAATTCCTGTTTCAGAGCTACTTATCATGGTTTTGTTGTTGCTGCTGCTGTTTTTGATATATTTTGAAAGCAGCCTTTTACAAAGAGACTGTTACATGGACTTTGGGGGAATTGGAAAAAAAAGAAAATGAAGATATAACTTACACCCTTCAGTCAACCAAATAATCTTTACACTTCTGACCTTCCTCTGGGTTTCTGTTCTATATGTCGTTATTACCCCATTTATGCCTGGTTTCATGGCCTCACAATTCCCTTAAAAAACAAACCTGTGGCTGGAGAGTTGATTTGTGGATAGTAACATGACTATTGAAGATGCGTTTTAGTTGTTTACTAGCCTTTGGTTTGTATATGAGACATAGACATGACTCGCTCATAATCTCCTGTGATGTCCAGATGTGTCCTATAGAAACTTCCTCCCAGGTGAGATTTCTCTAAATTTCTTTTGTCATTTCTTCACGGATTTGAAAACCCTTGTTTCAGACTGAGCCCTGTGCTTCGAGTTTCCTTTTTATCAGATCCATTCCCTTTAAGCTGGAATAAGATTGAAAATATATGAAGACTGCATAGGTAGTCATCACTCCAACTCTTGTTGATAGGGCGTGGATAGAAAGTGAACAGGTACACTCAAAGATTTTCTTATCCCAGCTAAAGTAGCAGAAATATGCATCACATCTGATCTTTTCACATTGCACTAAATAGCTGTTACATTATTTACTGAGCCTTTTATCCTTTCAGAAATTGTTAGTCCCAAACTGGTAGGGATGCTTTCTGAACGTAGGTATCTCCCCTGCCATGATGGTGGGCATGTAGCTCAATTTGGCTAATCAGCTGACCCCTCTCTGCTCTTCAAGGAACATACATGATTTAGCCAGAATCATCCTCAGGAATTTTGCAGGATATGTTTGGGATATCCCTCATGTCTTTGTGCTGTAACTTGCTTTAAAGATGACAAGATTTGAGTCGAGCTTCTGGAGACTATTTTTGCCATTACATGCAGCATGAATGCAGAACCAAGACGATGGGTGAAGGAAGAGAGGATGAGGGCAAGAACATACATGGATAAACAGTGTTTGAGTACCCAAATCCAGCAGGTTCTGACAATTGCATAATTTCTCTTTGATTTTGTTTAAACCGATTTGAATTTGTTTCTGTAAATTACATCAGGAAGATTCCAGATAAACAAACAAGCATGCTCCCAGTTTGTTTATATAAGTACAAATTATTTATACTCTATAAGATAAAGATGTATATTTTTAGTCATTTTGAAATTACATTTTGAAGCCTGCAATCTGAGTCCATTGAGCTGGGCATTGTCAAATATTAACTTTGAGTAAACTAAAAGAGGAACAGTGAAAGATTAGTACGTGCTTTGTGGTATAAACATGCAGGTCACTACTATACAGGAAAGCAGTTGCTAAACCAGCCTTAGTAGACAGGGGTATCCGGTTTGAGATGCATAACTTCCAGACCATTCTACTAAATGGCGGTTAATAGTAGCTAACTTCAAAAACAACCAAGAAGGACTATGAAAGAAAAAAAACTGGTTTTGGACTAAAATTAAGACTATAAATGTGATTGGTACTAATGGGTGGCAAGGTAAGGAAGAGAGAGGGGAGGGAACAAATGAAAAAAATTAGGGTCTCCATTCCCTGTGAGAAACCCTTTTTCATAACCCTTCATCCTTGGTCATTGACAGGTCACACTGGGACTGCAGTATTCCGTGGATCACGAACTGCAGGGTGGATATATCGAGTATAAAGAAATGTGCTGTTTGTTCTGAGGTCCACCTTATATAAAGGAGCCAGGCGTTGAAAGCTTCAGTTCACGTCATTGTCCCACATACCTTAGGAGGATTGTTTCCATTTTGTGTGTTATCAAACCAGAGCCCCGAAGAATGTCTTCCAAAGTAGAAAGCTTGCTCTGAGAGAGGTTGGTCACAGTTCTACTTCTCTTCCAAAATCATGGCTTTTTGGACTTAGAAAAGTCATTTTGACCTGGGAGATATTTCCAGCTGAGGAGATAACAAAACCGTCTATTTAGAGTTACATAGTCCTTGACCAAAAGCAATGTGTTATAAAATGAACTCAATTACAATCATCTCTCAATCATCAGTTATAAAATTTTTGTGAGGAGAGCAGATTACCAGCAAATTTTATGTGGTGAAAGCTCATCAATATGTGAATAACTGGAAGCTTCCATCAAGTTCCCCTCCCCCCTCCAGCTATAAAAGGGCCTGTTTATAAGCACGATGTGATGAGAACCATGTTGGGTCAATTTACTCCTCTAAGTTTATGGCAAATAATTATTTAGCAGATGGAATTTTCTGTAGATTTCATTTACTTGGCTTCCTTCTTTACTTACCCTTTTTCTCTGTAAGGTTGATTGTACTTAAAAATAACTTCTGGTATACTTTTTAAGAGAAAAACACAGACTTACATTATTCCAGAGGGAAAACAAGAGATTGTCTAAGCATCAGCTAATTCCATGCAATGCAGCAAGGATGCCTGCCCTCCACAAGGAAGTCTGGGAGAGCGGAATAAATATTCGGTGTGGCAACTCCGGGAGGGACTTCTGTTGATAAGTCTGAGTTATGAGGTGTTCTCAGGAAACATGTGTTTTATCCCAGGCCAAGGCCAGCGGAGGTTGAAGTCAGTCTCCAGTGATTAGCTATTTCCCGGAGACCTCCTGGAGGAAATGCACAAGGTCTGAGGAGGGAGAGAGCTCCAAATTGACAGCACACATCTATGTTCAAGGCGCTGTTGCCCTTGACAAGTGATGGAACACTATGTAAGTTTTGACATGGTGACGGCTGAAATTTGAAATATTTCAAAAGGGTCTTAGTCTCGTAGGCTAAAAATCCTACAGCTGCATCCTCAAACAGAACCTCATCTAGTGTGTGTGAACACAGAGTCACAGAGCCAGGAGAGTGCATGTGTCACATGTGTATGTATACTTATCATACACATTTACATGTGCTGATCTTTTCTCTCTTTCTTTCTTTCTCTCTTTCTTTCTTCCTTTCTATCTTTCTTTCTTCCTTTCTTTTTCTTTCTTTCTCTTCCTTCCTTCCTTTCTTTCTGTTTTGATTATTTTTACTTTCTTTTTCTTTTTTTTTTTTGAACAGGCTTTCACTGTGTAGCCTTGGCTGTCCTGAAACTCACTCTATAGACTAGGCTGGCCTCAAACTCAGAGATCCATCTGTCTCTGCTCCTGAGTAGTTGGATTAACAGCCTGTGCTACCACTGCCTCACTCACAACTGCTGATTTCTTAACTTTGCAATTTTAAGAAAAGTCTTTCATTGCTGGAGAGATAGGTCTCCTGCATGGCATCTCACATATGTTTCTAGTTCTGTAACTCCAGTTCCAGGGGACCCAATACCCTCACACATATATGCAGGCAAAATACCAATGCACATCGTAAAAGAAAAAGAAGCCTTTCTGTTTCAGTGATGGATAAGAAGGACAATATTTTGAAGGCAGTAAAAAGATGTATTGTTCCTATAGTCTTGGTCCCGTTAACCCTCTTCCCTTTATTATTAAGTGTAACACACCACACTAACATGACATCTGAGAAAGCATGGGTTGAAGAATGTCCTTGTCCGAAAAAAAAGAAATCAAAGTTGTCTTTATTGACTGGCTGTTTCCCCCAGAATTTATGTGTTGGAAATATAATCTCTATTCATATGGTGTTCTGAAATGTCCTTGCAAATCAAGTATGTTATGTGAGTATGGTCACTGTGATAGTGTCTCATAAAAAGATACAAAAGTAAAGCCTCCTCTGTCTCTCTCTCTCTCTTTCTTTCTCTCTCTCCTTTCTTCCCTCCCTCTCTCTCTCCCAAGCCTTCTTCCTATCCTTCTTCAGTTTCTTCTCTCTTCCATAAGAAGATGCAATGAGAAGAGAGTTATATGTACAAACAAGAAAGAGAGCCTTCATCCAGGAATTGCATTGGCTATTACCTTAATTTTGGATGTCTCTCCCTCTTAAACTATGAGAAATAAATGATTCCAGTCCATGGTAATTTGTTACAACTGCCGGAACTAAGTAAACAATGAAGGGAATATCCTACTGATTGAGGAGGCAAGGATAAGCATACCTTCTGTTCCATGGGATGGTAAGAAGGAGGAGTGTTGAAACTAGGACAGAAGGTGGTAAGACATGCTCTTAGCTCTAATCTAAACAAAACACAAACATTGGGCAGTTGCCAGACTGAGGCTGAAGCCATCATTGAAATTAGATACAAGTTTGGAGTCAGTCATTTGGGAGATGACTTGGTCCTCCTAGAACTCCGTCAAATACACATGCTCATTTCAAAGACGAAGACAACACTGCATCCAGCAAGGAAATGTTCAAAACTAGGTCAGCGTGCCTAATGTGGACAGCTGTCTAGGTACTAGCATGAGATCCAGCACGTCCTCACCAAATCCCAATCTCTGAATTTATCTCTCTCACCAAAGCATCATTTGTTGCAAGAAGAACAGGCGAAAAGAACCAGTTCCTTTAGGAAAGTTTACTAAAAAATATCCCAAACAGGCTATTTTACTCTGAGTGGTTGAAGCATTATTAATAACCTGTTGTTCCCGTATCCTAACCCCAGGAGGGTGGGGGCTTGTGAGAAAGAGTCTACCATTTATTGAAAATAAGGAAGGCCCCTTTTCTCTGCACATCTGGTGTGTTAATTGCAACCCTCCCAACATAAGTAATACCTGCAGTACAATTTTAGAGTCCCTGCTGGGACAAATGCTATTTCAATGGTCTGTCATTCTCTGGATCCAGGAAAAGCAGCACTAAGTAGAATTGTCAGCGCACCCACGTCTGTCTTCTTTAACGTCAGAAACTTCCCAGGTTTGGTTGGAGCATGTTCTTATAGTGAAAAATGCCTTTTGGCCCAAGGTCCCAGTGCAGATGCAGAACCTAATGTTACAAGATGCTGGCACGTAAATCTGTATCAGGTTCTCATATTACATCTGCAAATGAAGTTTCAAAGGTACCTCCTCCTCTTTCTCCCTATGACAGAATAAGGCTTCGTGCAAAAATGGACAAGAAGGATGAAAGCAGCTCAAGTCATCGTGGACACATAGTTTAACTCAGAAATCAGAACAGAGTTCTCAAGCTAATATGTGAGGTGGGCTGAAACATCTAGAAAAATCTCTCTGTGTTAGAACACGTATGACTCACAAGTCAAGAAGTCTTCATGTCCTCACTATATCCTGATCTTAAGGGTTAAGCCCATAGTCTCTGATCCCTGAGTGGGTCCTTTTATTATTCAGGAGAATATTACAAAACCCATAAACAATGGTAAATTACATACTATATTAGTAACTTTTCTGTTCCTGTGATAAAATACCATGACGAAGTCAACTTACAGAAGAGTTTATTTGGGTTGATGGTATCTGGAGGGGTTGGAGAGCGTTATGGCAGGCAGGCCTGGTAGCAAATAAAATGAACAGAAAGTCAAGCGTTAACATCCTCAACCATAAGCACCAAGCAGGGAGCAGGCTAGAAATGCCTCAAGTCTTTAAATTCTCAAAGCCCATTACCAGCAAGGCAAAACCTCCTAAATCTCTCAAATTGCTCTACCAATTGGGAAACAAGTGTTCAAATACACAAGCTGGGCAAGTGACATTCTCTTTCAAACCACCATATGTGACCCAGTCTTGGCAAAATTAAGCAAGTCAGAAAAAGAAAAAATAATCAAAGAACATTGGTTTAGGAATTAGTAGGTTTCACCCATGCCCCCCCACAATAGTCTATTCATCAGAGTTAATATGAAACCTTCATAGTAGTTAGCATATGTACTCCACATAACTCAGAGGCTCCACACACCTCTTGATTCTACCTCTCACATTTCCATAAGGTTTCTGGCAAGGAGATCTGCATTATTCTTGCTAAACAGTGTCCCCAGAAGTGATTGTTTTCAACTGTGACTAACAAAACATACCTCTTGGGCTGAAATCTAAATTGCTCTTAAGGAATTCTCTCTTGGGGAAGAGTTCCTCCCCTTTCCTCTTTAATTCAAAGTAGGAGACTGTCTATTCATTCTGTCCTTAGTTATTGCAGTAACTTTTTCCTCTTCAGACCAAGGTCAGAAGTCTCCTGTTGTTTGTCTCTACGAAGGTGCATGAGCATACATAGCTGCACAGCATGCATATTTATGCTACATAGGCATTAAAGCAAATAGAAGAGGGATGAATTTTTAAGAACACAGTAAGACTGAAAAAGTCTTGTTTGGATATTGACTGTTTTATACTTTTATGAACTTACTTGATGCAGTTAAAGGAAATAAACTTAATCTTGCTCCTGAGCTAGCTCCTTAAGAATGCAAAGTCTAAGAGTGGGAACCGTGAGGATGGATAACGAGCTGTACCAAGTGTCCTGGGGAAGGGGAGTCGTATGATACTTTATTAGACAGAGAGAAGTCACTAACATGAGAAGCCGAGAACTGAGGTCAGCTCTCTGCTGGTCTCAGACCTCAACTGCAGCTCCAAGAGAGCTTGTGACCCCTCCTTCTTTGACCTTTATCCTTGCCTTCCCCCCATGTACCTGTGACCACGCCCACTTGGTCTACCTACCGAACAGGAAAGATATTAATATGCATATAGCTACAACTGTCTGCCAGCATCTGTAAGGTTTGATGCTAGGACCTTCTGTCTCTTCAGGCCCTTAGAGGCTCATGTCTCTTTCATAAAACAGTATAGCATTGTATATAACCTATACACATCACCCTGTTTACTTTGAATCATGTCTAGATTACTTGTATACCTAATATAATGTGACTGTATTACATTTAATTGTTTAAGGAGTGATGGCAAGACATAAAATTTGTTCATGTCCATTTAGTAGAGAAATGATTTTGCTTTCCATAAAGAAATGTGAGGTTTTACAACTCAAAGACTATGAAACAGATGCAGAGAGACTGTGTGTGTGTGTGTATGTGTGTGTGTGTGTGTGTTTTAAAGACATTCATAAATCTACTTTCTATTCATTGGGATACTTAGGATCCTTGGCTTGTGGCATGTTGGGTCTCCTGTTGGCCTTTGGTTCCACTGTCCCAGTTGTGCTATACTTTATTACAGTGAGAGTTAACTTCTACTTCCAAGACCACTGTGCTAACTAACAAGAGCTTTGTGAAATCAAGGTTCCTTTCTAGAACCTTAGCTCTGATAAAGCTGCGGAAATACTATGGCAGCTCCCACGTGACTCTTTAAAGATAACTCCTCTTTGTCAAATAATCTAAGTTACTTAGTGTGTAATGGTCTTACATTTTCAAAGCCTAATGACCATCCTTTGTGTGTGTGTGTGTGTGTGTGTTATGTGTGTGTGTGTGTACAGATGCAGGTGTGTTTGCAGGTGAGTGTGCACTTGTGTGCATGTGTATATGGTGGTTAGAGGGCAACTCTAGGGGTCATCTGTGGTAATGTCGCTCACTTCCTTTTAAACAAGCTCTCTTAGGACACATGGAGGTCACCAATTAGGTTGGGCTGGCTCACCAGCAAACACCAAGGTCTTTACCTGGCCAGTGCTGGAATTACAAATGCTTGCCACCATACCCCAGAGGCTTTTATGTCATTCTTGGGGTTATGTTCACGTCCTTATGATTGATTGTGAGGTAACGGTTTTACTGCTTGAAAGATTCCCTCTGAGACCCTGAAATGCATTCTTTATTGTAGACTTAGGCTCTGACCAGCAAGTCCCTCCAGGCCAGGTGTTTAGCAAGGCTGCTCCTTGGCTGCATCTCCTTTCTCGGTGTTTTTGGTTGGGTCAGGAAGTGATGCTCAAAGGAACTGGACTTCCGAGGGTGCCAGTCTCCAAGAACAGTTTCCATACTTGGAGCCCAGAGTAGCTAAGCTGGAAAAAGGAGTGGAGGTGACGGGTTTTTCTGGCTTTGTATTTTGTTTTCGTTGCTGGGTCTTGTGACTACTGTGTCCTGAAATAAAATTAAAGGTTGGAGAAGGATGAGGATGAGGAAGATGGCATCTGGAAGGCACCGGGAGATCTGAGCTTTATGCTGAAGAAGAGGAGGTCAGATTCAATTTGCTAGGGTTACCAGAGTCCTGCTTCTGATTTTTTTCCCGGGTTATTTCTCTTTCTGTAACAGAAGAGGTTGCGAGTTGTCAAAAGGAAGGAAAAACTCATCTTAAAGTGAAAAATGTCACCGAAAGTCTTGACGTAGCAAAGGCTTCACTCTTCAATTTTGCACAAAAGGGTCTTGAAATCTGACTGCACTGGAGCTTTTAAAAAGGTGTTGTCTGAGGAGAGTAGAGAGGTCTTTCCATTACACCCCTTCCATAGATAACAGCAGCAACCAGCAACATATTGCCGGATTCTGCCTGACTCTTAAGATATTTCTCACTCAAACACACTCAAGACATCCACGGTGGTAAAGGCACGTGCCCAGCCAACAGTTACCTTTCAACATAGTCACATTTAAATAGGAGATTGGCACATTGTCTGGGTAGTGCTTACCATTTAAAAAATAATTACTTCTTCCCTATTGCTTATAATAACTACTTTAAGCTCACAAGTGAAATCTATTTCCTCACCTCAATTTTTCCCTCCTCTTCCAGGTCTGCATCACACTGTGGGGCTTCTGGGGACTGCTGGGCGGCTGGCATTGATCTTTTGTCCCCTGGGGTGGGAAGAAACAGGTCTTCAATTTTACCCTTTGGGGAAAATATCACACCTTTCACAAGATACCTGGGCTTTTTCTTCTTTCCACAGACTCGAGTTATTTTGTGTTATTAAACAGTTGGGCTGACTTTGTAGTCATGTACATGTCCAGCTATTCATATACCTGTGCCTTTAAAGCATTTATCTATTCAACCAGGATGTATTTTGATGTCTCCATGAAAGTCATTGTGCAAAGTGTTTGTTGTGATGACGTATAACAGATGATGTGTTTATCTTTGAGAGCTTTATTTCTAGCATGTTCTATTAGGTTGGGGAGAAAATTGTACTACTTACTGTTCATTGTATAGGTGGATATCCTCACTTCCAGATTTCCAGATAAAATAAGGTTTTTTTTTTAACTAAAGAAAATAGCTTGTATAAAGAACTTCCTTTTGTAATCATGAATCTTGACGGTAATCTACTGATTGCTTTATTCTGTTCTTGAACACGTGAAGGACACGTTAGAGTAGTCCTAAAAGGTAAAGAAAAGACATGAAGGTAAATTTGAGTTTCAGAAGTTATGCCATATAGTTTATTGATCAGTCAGATCATATCCTAAGTGCATGGAGATTAAATCATTCCATTGAAAATGTTCTCTTAAAGCTGGCTAGAGAGAACAATTTTGGACCTTGGTAGAAAGTACTCCTCGATCCTGGAGTAGATATGCCTGGAGCTGTAGCATCTTAGAGTGGATGGAACCTTGACTATTGCATTCCAGGGAAGATGAAATTTCAATAAAACACAGTAATATGTTCCCCAGTGTCTGACAAGTCCAGACACTTTCAAGTACCTTGCAGAGTCAGGACCAAGTAGTGTGCTGTGACCTTGACAGCATCCTTCCTTTCCCATTTATGGGATTTGCTGAGCGTGAGTGGACGTAGAATTGTGATTTTACTGAATGAAGAATTTTCTTGTAGATACTGAATGGTAAAGCAGAAGGGTGTCCTACTCCCAAGAGAAGGAAGGGCAAAGGGAGACTGAAACTTTTCTGACCTCTGAGAACTTTGGTGTCACTCACCCCAGTTTTATTGCCTGTTTTCCTTTTTAATACAGTGCATCAAAGCCAAAAACTTTCCTTCTGAATGAAGCAGTATGATGTCAATTTTCCAGGGGACCAGGGTGTCTTCAATTAAAATTGGGCTTTACTGAGAAGTGTTTGGCTTTGCATTTGAACCAAAAAGTAAAGGAGACAGAGAGAAATGTAGAGCGGTTGATGGTTTCCCTAATGGCTGGAAGATCAATTAATTTACGACGAGGAAAAAGAAAAAGCTGCATTACAGATTTACTAAATGTTCATTATCTATGGACTTTGGATAGGACCCGCTGTCAGCCTATTATCTACAGCGGAGATCTGACAGTTCCAATCCTGAGTTCGGGGACCAGTTGATAAATTAAAAATCATTTTAAAATTTAATATTAAAATTGATAATTGCTCTGTGGGAAATAGATTTTTCTGAACTTACACCCTTTTCCTGCAGTGCTGAGCAAATGATAAGCGATAAACTGCCCATTTGTCACGATGATAGATAGACAAAATCCTACTTTTACCCTTGTTCCTCGGCACTCATACATTTCAATTAAGGAGAATGAGTGCTGCCATTTGTAATGTATCCAGAGTTCTTCCATGCTTTCTTGGGGGCTTAAGGAGTTATCTTTAGAAGTGAGATGTACCCCATCACCTCATGCAGTCATTGGAAAGTGTGTCCCAGCACATCAAGACACATGGCAGAAAGGCACAAGGTGACTGGTTACTATCTACGTACGTTGTAGGAGGGTAGCACAGAAAATAGTACGTGAGAATCGCTGGTCACACCTCAGTCCTAAACTTGGTTAACCCAGGTTGGAGCATAATTGTCACATGAGGTATATGGGACTCCTATTTTGTCCCATATTCTGGATGCCATGCGACTTTGCAAAGAGCTCGGGAAAATGAAGTTTCTAACCCTGTTAGTGTTTGGCTTGGTCATGTGACCTCTTAATCTAGTGACTGTTAGGGGGTATGACCCGAGCAAAAGTACTACATACACTTGGGGCTTGGATTTGGGCACTTGGACTCCTATGCTTAGAATATTCTAGATTCCAGTCGCAGCTTCATCCTGGACCTTGAAAGCAGCTATACAACTGTGCTCTGAACCCGACCTGAAGTTGGTAGCCCAGCACAGACCGTTGAGAATCTGAAACGAAATTGTCCTGATGTTCCATGGACCCGTGAAAAAGAAGTGCTTATTGTAGAATTATTTGCGTGTAAGTACACACACACCACGCGCGCACACACACACACACACATGCACACACACACACATGCACACACACACGTTTTGAAGCAACACTAGATTCCTAAAGATTATTCCATAAGAAAAACATCTCCAAGACTAGAGCCAATCACAACTGCAATGAATTTATGCTTTTCCTCACTACTCTATCCATACTGTATGCTGTGCACAGTTAAGGTTTTAAAATGTATGTGTTGAAAGACCAAAGGCCTTTTAAGGTAGAGCTTCTATCTACTCCACATTGTGTTCAGTTGGCCTGTCTCAGTTCTGTGGGTGGATGATAGTCTTTGCAAGTCTTCCTGAGAGCATGTGACTTTGTCTCCAGTCCTACTTGCCTTCGGGGGCTTTCTAATCTGAGAGGGGACGGCATAGGTCGCCAAGTACTGCAACAAGAGAGGGATCAGCTGGACTTTACAGAGTTTAGAGACAAAACTCAGTCTGAAGGCACAAGGGCATTGGTGATGTACATTATTCCAGTAGACTTTCTATGAAAGACATGTTTCATCTATTTTAGGGATACTGATGCTGAGTGTTATAGCAGACAGTAGCGGTGGGCATTTGTGTTAATTAACGTTGTGTTATACTACACAAAATAGACACTCTGACTGTGCCCATTTTATAACATTCTTATAACCATTTCACAAATGCAAAGCAAGGTTGGGAAACGGCAAGTATTTTCCCTAGATTACAGAGGTAGTAAGTGGTAAATGGTGGATCTTCTTTTTAATCTAGGACTTAGGACTCAGCAACTTGTAAGATCAACCAAAAAGTACCAACAATATGGCTACTGAATTCTAACCCCTAGACCTCTCAACATGTGATTTTGCTTCCTGGTCTGGTTTATTATCTCCGATCTTCTTTTTCCTTCCTCTTAAAAAAGTCCATTCATAATTACAGTTGTGCGAGGAGGAGCTCTCGCCTGCACCATAGAAAGGAAAGAACTGCAGGAAGGGGGCCACTAATTAGCTGGTCCCAGAGCTTCATGAGGCTAGCATGGTTTCTTTCTTTTTAAGGCTTCAAGGCAGGGACCAGGCTGGGCAAAGAACAATGAGCACATCGGGGAGGGGATGCTTTTAATGATACGGTCGCTAATGAAATGGCACTCCACGGGTTCACTTATTAGTAACTTAGCTCAAACAGCCATGTCCTACTGTCAGCTAGCCACTGAAGACCCAGTGTGACCTCAGAATTGTCAGCTCCACCTGAAAAGGCGCAAATGCAGCAGAAAAATCTAGAGGCAGCAAGCATAATTTGGAGTGGGGAGATCAATAACAAGGGAAAAGGTTGTTGAATCTCTGCGTTTCCAGCTTGCTGTGACGTTATGCCGGAAGTGGAGCTCTCTGAAGAACAGTCTAACCTTGCACTATTTAGGTCTGCATCTGATTTGTAAACAATAGAAAGGCTTGATTGAATGTTTTTGGAGGCCTGGGTGACAGTGTTGGTATTAGAGGAGTGACAAGCACGACTCCATTCTCAACTAATTATATACTGTGGCTCCTCCTGATGTTTTCCAGGGCACAGAGATTTCTAACTTTACATTTGAAAAATGATTTATGGGGAAAACACTTCCATACAAATCTTGCTTGACAACTGGGGCATCATGAAGGATATATAGATGTGAAATTTAATGATGCTTTCCATTTCTATAACTTCATTTGTTTGAATAACTCTACCCTTTACATAAATTATTGAATCACACCTGTTAATATCTGTCAAATGTGAAGTGTATTTACTCTTTAATTTAGAGTTGGATGGCTAGGGCTGTCATGCTAGGAACTTTCTTTTTGAGGAATAAGCCAGATCTTATACCTTTGGTTGGTTCCCATCTATGTTTAAAGGCTACTCCCTAAACATATACCAATAAATGGAATTTTTCCCTTTAAATGATTATTTATATCCTTATTAACAATTCATGGTGCCTGTGTGCTTGCTACTCTCTTTGCGCAAAGCTAAATAAACATAATTTCCTTGTGTCTGAACTCTGGTTATAAACCAGAGTTTGTCCAAGGTGGTATGAATTCCCAAGAATCATTCATTGTAAAGCCTAACAGTTTCATTCTCACTGATGTACAAGTCACACTTGTTGGTGATAAAATTATGAAGAGGACAGTTCTCCACACCTTGACCTTCAGGTTGGGTTACAAAAACATTCTTTGCCAGGTGTGTGGCTGAGTACTACTGGAATTGGCTCTTTCTGTGGCATCCTATCAGAGACCCTTCCACACTTTTCCTGTGTCCACATAACCCACCAGACTTTCGCTTTGTCTCCCTGTGATTTTAGAATAATCAGCTCATTCCTCTCAGCCTCTTAGGCAGCCCCACTCAGCTCCTGCTTCTGTTTCCCTTCCCGCCTTTGGCTATCTAGTCACGGAGCAAGCCAGTAATGAAAATGGGTTTCATTAAACAGGAATCCTACTTATTTTCTCAAACCACTATGCTAATAATCTCCCTTCTCAATATAAAGGCTTAAACACATACCAATATAACTAGTTTTTTTTTCAGCTATGTTTTTTTCTAAAGAAGATTATTTCCCAGGGATAAAAATACCCTTTTTCAAAATCCAGGACTTTGTAGTTAGAAATGAAGACCTAAAGTGTCTAGAACTCATTCTTTTTCCATGAGGGAACGCAAGATGAAATTCCTGCCTTTTAGTCATGCAGTTTTTAAAAATGACCACAAAAGAGATATGAAGAGCTAAAACATTTCCTCATGAAAGCATGAATTTTGCAGGCCCTTATGAATAAATCAAGATGAGTATTAGAATACAGATATAGTTTGTCTGCATATGAATATGAGTATTAGAAATATGACGCTTGTTCCCCCCAGGAATTGAAACATGTGCCCAGACATATTTAGTGTAATGCCAGAGAAATGACAAGTCCATAGAAATTCAGAGAGGCTTTTGTGTCTTAACAGAAAGCCATCTTCAGAGTGACCACACCCACTTTGGCAGCTGTTATTCCAGCCTCTATTTTGACTGGGGTTGAGGTCTGTCAGTTTCTGCAGCCTCTAGCTATCAACTACAGTTTACAGCAGAATATCTAACTTCCTGTTTTGAAACCATCCTCCTTGGTTTTTCTCCTGACACTGATCTCAGCCTCCATCTCCCTTTTCTCCTGCTTTGTCCTGTCAGGAAGACTGCCGTCATCAGCAAGAAGTCAATCTTGACTCTTCACTCTCTGGAGCTCTCAGGGCTCTTTGCAAATACAAGGAGCATGACCCTGGAAATATTTCTCCCCCAGAAAAAAGAAAAAACCTCCACTTGTCAATCAGTCATCCTGGGCATAACTTTTCACAAAGGAACTCAGAGCAGCCTCTGTCTTAATCCATCACGGTTGGGAAACCATGGGGAGCAGAGAGGCCAAATAAGTAAAAAGCTACAATTGGCTTTAAAGGCTAGCTCAATTATTACATGTATTGCTTTCATACCACACAAACGCTGCAAAATGCACAAAAGAATGAAGAAGGCTAGACCCTTATTGGTGGATGAGTTGAGGATGCAAGGTAGCTGATTAACTGGCCTTCTGGTTACTTGAATATTAACCTGTTTATTGAGAGAAATTGTGCAGGGCAGGGTTTGATAGAGCAAAGAAAGATGAATATTTCTTTCTAGATGGTCACAATTCAGTGATTCTTCCATCCCACTTTGTAGGTTTCTGCTGCTCCTTTCATTTGTCTTATTTTACAATGAGCTGTCTGTATGTTTCTCTTACCCAAGAGGTTATAAGCAATTTTAGAGCAGAAGTATTTTTTCCATGTTTGTAGAACCTGTAAACATTTTCAGATGGTAGGTGCCCATTTATTATTTGCTGAGTTGCATTGATTTTACCTCCTTAATATATTTTTAAATGTATTGTTTAGCCAACAACAAATACCCACAATATCTGTCAGTGCCTTATATACAAAAAAGAGGCTCGAAGAACATGAAGGTAGTGTGCACTTAGGTGACTTTTGTAAAAGTTAAAAGCAAAATTTTTCTTGAAAACAGCAAATGTTTACAAAATAATTCCTGAATTAACATGGATACACACACACACACACACACACACACACACACGCAAACACAACCTGTTTAAAACATATACAATGATAAACATGAAAGATTAAAATGAAGAATAGAACTTTCCCCCTTGAGAATGATGAAAAGAGAAGGCAGAGAGCTGAAAGTGATGTATTAGTCGATTATTATTAGATTTCTCATGACTCTACAATGAGGGGTTAGGTATCTGAAAAGTATAGAAATTATAAAGTCAACATTGAGGCCCTACTTTTCTTTATGTCGTTTTCTACATCCATAAAACATATGGGTGAATGGCATTAAAGTACTGCTTTTGCTGTCCTGGAGTTAAACAGGGTAAGCTAACAGCTGAAAATTAATATAGACACCAAGTCACAGAAGGGCTAGAAGGAAACAATGCCATCTAGGGAAGTAGCTGAGGCGAGGAAACTAATGTGGCCATATAGCAAGTTAAGTAGTGTGACTGATTCAGGGTCCCTTGAGAAGGAAACATTGGAGCCAAAACTTACTGGAGGTAAGGGTTGACAAAGCAGGTATCTAGAAAATACCTTTCCAACTAGAGGGAGTGGTCAGTGCAAAATGGAGAGGGTCTGAAGCAGGCAAGTTGAGGGGTAATGATAGGCCAATGTGGTTGGTGTAGAAAACACAAGGAAATGCTATATATAGTAAGAAACAAAGCCAGGGGAATGCCAAAAGGGCAGCTACATGGGATCTTTTAGACTACTGCGAATAAAGCTCTGAATAAAATGAGAACCCCATGAAATGTTTCTAATACTTAGGTGACGCTGCTGTGTGCTATAAATCCTAGGTGGTTCACTGTAGTTGCTGTGCTGAGGTACACATGAAGGATTTCCCACAATGTAGCTGAGACATGATGACGCTCGACATGTTTTCTGTCCTCTGTATCAGACTGTGAACTCCCATAGAGAAGGGGTATCTTGTCAGTATTGCCATTTCTAGCAGGTTCTGCTATAATGTAGGTCCTCAACAAATGTACCCTGAATACATGGGAGCGGACCTATGTCAGGTCAAAGACAATGGCTGAAGTTCCTGCAATAGATCTGCACATAGGGTGATCAATACTGTAGGGAAGGGAAATAATGTAACTTATAAGGTCTGATACATAGCATCGTCCACAATGGGTGCTCTCTGTTTCATGAGTATCATGAATTGAAAATGCTAGAGAGGGGGAGTTCCCCTCAGCACAAGACATAAGGTTTCACTCACTCACTGTTTTGGACATGATTTTATTCTACTCTTCTCTCTCTCTCTCTCTCTCTCTCTCTCTCTCTCTCTCTCTCTCTCTCTCTGTGTCTTTCTCTCTGTCTGCCTCTGTCTCTGTGTGTGTATGTGTGTGTGTGTACATACACATTCACATATGTGTACTTGCATGTGCATACATAAAGAAACCAGAGGTCCATGTCGAGTATCTTTTTCAGTTGCTATCTATGTGATTTTATTTTATTCTGAGACAAGTTTTGCCACTGAAGCTGACCCGGACTGCCTACTAAGTAAGCACCAAGAATTCTTCTGTCTCCTTCACCATTCCAGTGCTGGGACCACACATACTCCTGGATTTTTATAATGGGTGCTGAGGATCGAACTCAGGTCCTTATGCTTGGGTGGCGAACATTTTAGCTACTGAGTTAAGTCCCCAGCCCAAGGTCCTGGAATTGAGTAGGAAGATGGCTAGTTATTCACTTTGTTGAAAACCCGATGCAGAATACATAATGGGAAATAAAATTGAGCGATAGTTTCAGGCTAGATTGTAGAAGACCTTAAATTTATGCAGCAGATGAGTGGGCTGGATATTATTCAAGTTCTGAAGTTTGTTTGTTTGCGTAGCGGGGAGGCAATAGGTTTAAAGTCGAGCTTGGAGAAGATCAGTATAAGTCTGAAATTACCTCTGAATCATTTAGCTAGAGAATAAAACTAGATGAGCAGTTGTTTCTAAGGTCAAAATTACAGTTTCATCATTTGGAAGCACTGATGTGGAAAACAGAGAAATGACACACCCTGGTATTTGTATGAGTCTGTGTGTTCTCCAAAGCCCTTGCATATGTATTACCCCTGTGGTCGTCACAGCAACCCTGCTAGGTGGCATTGTTATCACATTTTACAAATTGAGATGATTTATGCAAAGGGGATCAGTGCAGTCTGGCCTGTAGAAGATACTCAAGAAATATCAGCTGAAGTAGAAAAATAAGAACCACCGGCTTAGAAAGCCTAAGCATATCGCCCAAGGTCATGGTGCTGGAAATAAGTGCCAAACCAGGGCTAAAGCCAGTTTGTCTGACTCTCAGTCTAATTCTCTCTGCCTGTGTCCTCACTGGAAAATGCTTCAGATGCTCGCAGAAATGACAGATGAAGAAATTAACACTTACTTGCTATCCTGATACAACTCATAGGGTGGGGAAATATTAAATATAACTTAGTAGTTAGTAGACTGTTACTATATCTTGTACATCTCTGACATACATGTTCAAGCCACACTCACACATATATATAATATAATATATATATACTTACACACATATATACACATATACACACACATATATATGCATATATATTTCATTCTACATACTTTGAGCTCTTATTCCTCCCCTGGTGATGGTATTTTGAGGAGCCATGGGACCTTTGGGAGATGGTGATTAGCTGGCAAAGTAGATCTTTGTAGGTTACAGCCAAATCTTGCTCATCTTGCTCTAGCCTGCTTTTTGCTTTCTGGTCATTGCAATGCAAATGGCTCCTCCACATGCCTCCACTGCCTCAAACTGTTCCTCTTGTTTCCACTTTACGGACTGAAACTATGATCTAAAATACAGCTTTTCCTCCTAAAGCTGTTCCTGTGTTCCTGTCACCATGGGTGGGGAGTGACTAACAATATATATATGGTGTGTGTGAGTGTTTGTTATGCAATATATGGAATGGGTATCATATAACAGAAATTTACCTTCTCAGGAGTCTGAAGTGATAATGTCCAAGACCAAAGTGTTTTTGGGTTTACTGTCTCCTGAGGCTTCTCTTTTGGGCTTTCAGATGGCTGCTTTCTCATTATATCCTCTGATGGTCTCTACTACTCTTTGTTTTGATATATTTGGTGTCTCTGAGCATTCAATTTCCTCTTTGTATGGAAGAATGAGTTAGCATCCACTCTTAGGGTATCATTTTTAACTTATGCACCTCTTTAAAGATAGCATTTCTAAATGTAGTCACAATCTGAGGTGCTGAAGGTTAGAATTTCAACACATAAATTGTAAAGGATACATGTCACCTTATTCTCTCTTCTCTCTCTCTCTCTCTCTCTCTCTCTCACACACACACATGCACAAATGCATGCACACACATACATTCACACATTTATTTATTATTATTTTTGTATTCAAGAATAGAATGTTTATCATTATTGCTATTTGGAAATCAGTAGTGTATGTCATACCCTCCAAAGTTTCAAAACCATTGTGTTTGTTTACTAAACATTTCTTGGGAAAATACATAGTGACACAAGGTATGCTCCAGTATGCTAGCGGACATGGTATGAGTTTAGAAGCCCCTCCTCGTTGCCTTAGTTTTACTCCTGACTTCATTTTCAATGTGTACTAATTCTTGATTTCTTCCTCATCTGTGATGTAGAGTAACAAGGCTTCGTGTCAGGTATGTGTAGAAATAAAAACAATCTATGTAAATGTATCTAGCCCAAGGTCTGCCCCATGGTGGAAGCTTGGTGGTGCTGCAGGTCTCTCTGAGTATTCTATGGGGGGGTCAACTTCATCAGGATCTTTCTACGACAGATACAATAAATGTAATAGATGTCTGGAACCTGACACTACAGTAAGATGACCAGTGAAGAAAGAGAATAGTGTGAGGATCAAGAAAATCTGAACAATTATAAGCCCAGGCGTCGTTCTCTTTGCGGCTTCCTCTGGAAGGTCTACAAGCAGTCCCTGTCTCCCTGCACTCACACTCCCGTTTCACCCACACGGACTTGAATGGAGCTGGAGCAGTGATGCCCTTCAGACACACAGAAGAAAAGAACGAGGGTGATGAGATGTTCCTCAGAGAGGCAGATGCAAAATCCAACTGCTGCCGCCTTTGCCCTTTGCATCCTGTTGCTCTGCGAATTACTCACCAAACTCTACCCACATCTCTTGCATCTCTCATCGCCTGCTCCCGTGCCTTGAGGACACCCAGGGAGCCTACAGAGAAGGCTTCCTGGTGAGAGTGACGTGTGAGCTGAACTGGAAAATGAATTTTTCAAGTCTTGCCAACAGTCGTGTTAGAGGCAGTACAAGGAGTAGTAGAAGCCCTACTGTACTTGAGCCTGAAGCACAAGTGTACCACACTGATTCCTGACCTAAGAACCTCTAAGACAATATGTTTGGCTTTCTCCCTTTGTTTCATGTGTATATGTGTGTAGTGTGCATGTGCGTACACATGGGTGGTCCTATTTGTGGGCAAGTGCACATGCATGTGTGCGTACACGCACTTGGAGGATCAAGGTCGGCATCAGACTTCTCAGTGCTTCTCCACCGGATGCATTGAGGGAGGGTCACTGAGTTAAACTCAGAGCTCACCACTTCAATCAGTCTGGCTAGCCAGTTTACTCCTGGCTCCATTCTCTCTGCTTTCTGTGCAGTAGGATTACAGGTGAGAAGCCACACCGAGACATAACAAGCTCTAGGGATCTGAACTCTGGTTCTCACGCTTGCCTCACGAGAATTACTACCACTGTACCACCATCTCCTTGGCCTCTTGTTCATTATTTTAAGCTGTGAAATTTGGTGGTACTTTGCTGTGAAGCAACTTCACCCGATGTGCACCAAATATGTCTTTCCAGATATAGAAACGCAAGTGATTTCATCTTGAGTATTTCAATAATATGCTGCAAATTTGTTTCTTTTCTAGTTTTATAGCTATTTAGAATCAGGACTATATCCAAACAAACCAATAAAGAATCCAAATGGCCTATCCAGCCAGGGAGTGACTTTGCATAGCTTTTGTTTTTTCCACCCAGAAGAATCCGTAAGTGAAATGTTGTAGACTCACCACAATAAAATATAAGCAAAGTTATTTCATTTTTGCCCAGTCATAAAGAACCAGGCATGGCATTGTTGAGAAAGTGCTTTGAGTATCATAGCAATAAATCACAGGACAATTTGGAATCAAGTCTCACAAATGAGATCTTTGCACAGAGATCCAGATCTTCCAAGACATCAGAAATAACAATGGGGGCCCTGGGAACAGGGTGCATCTGCAGGCAAACATTTAAGTATTGTCTTACCAGATACATCTGCAAATTCATTCATCATCCACACATATGACAGCATTGATCAATCAGATTTGCAAAGCAAGTGTGTGTCTATTTTTCATATGCTTATGGGTTGTCAATTTAATCACCCAGTGGTAAAATGGGTCAGCTTAAGTGATTTTGCCTCATTTTTGCAGAGCTGATTCTATCACCCAAGGGCTATGGATTAACCAAACTATCTTTCATTGGAGAAATATGAAAATTTTAGTTCACAGTACAGAAAACATGACTATCTATTTATCTTCTCATTTATCTACTCACGTACTCATCTACCTACCTACCTACATCCCTACCTGCCTGTCTGCCTGCCCTCATATCTGCCTCCCTCCCTGCCTACCTACCTATCTTCCTTCCTTCCTATCTTTGTACTCTTCTATGAGAGCATGCATCCACCCTCCCACTCATTTCTTCTCCTGGTCCCAGACAGTCTCAACTCTTTAGTAGCACTAGTCACACCAACTTCCAAAGAGCACACGCAGTACCACGTAGGCTTTGAAACAGAAGTGCTTAAGGCAACCCTGGACTCTTCTATTGATGCTTATTTTCAAATAAACTTGTTAACCATTTTGTTGCCCAAACCAGAGCAAACTAAATAGAGATGACTAAACGATCATGAAAGTCTGACAGTGACATGAATTGCCATCAGTAAGAGCATAGAAGCAGGAACAGCTAAAACGCTACCACAGAAGGAGAGGAAGCAGTTTCTTAATACTTTTAAGGTGATGAAAAACATTGTGAGCAGTTTCAAACTGCTACATAATAACTATTATTCACTATTATCATCCCAGAATCATTAAAAATGTAGAGTAAGGTCAGCACATGGAGAGGATGCATTTGCTGTAACTGGCATATATTGAATTTCTACACTGTGGCCAGACTCTGCAAGGTGTTTTACATACATTATGTCTAATCCGCTCAGCTGCTGAGGGTTTGGAACTGAGAAATGAGACTTGGAGGGCTTAAGCTACT